CTTTGCATCCTTCAATCCAATCAAGTTGGCACTCAGTATTAACCATCACAAGTCCACCCATTGTCAACTTGAACCCATACGCATCTCCTGAGATCATCCATAATCTTCAAATAAAGGCAATAATAAGGTCATAATTACGCCTAACATAATACAACTATCCTTCATACAACCGGAAATGCACCAATCCCCAATCCAAATACTATTACGTAAAATTAACACTACCCAAATGCTGATATGAGGTCAATAAACCTTATGTCACTTGATAAAGGAAAAAGGAAATGAAGTTATTTCTTAGTGCAAGTGTGTACATGCACAAACATGTTGTTAGCAAAAGAAGGAGGAAATACTCATGACAATTACAGTCCTCGTTTCTGCAGCTGGTCACGTGGTCATAGCTGGTATTGATGACTACCTTCTTCTACTAAACATTCTGTATTCCCTTTGCCTTCAGCAAGCACCTCAGCAGGTCATGGTTTTTTTCCTGGTGGAGTGACCCAAACCGTTCCTGAGGGGCCTGGGCCATTTGCAGTCCTGCCTGGATTGGGCTGTTGTTGTTTCCCATTGACCTTAATCACAGGGCATGGTAATACTAAGAAATGCCCTAATGGATCTCCTGTCTTCCATGCATACTGTTCCTTACATCTGTTGTGGAGTAGTAGACTGATTTCATCATGATAGTCTGGGTCAGTCACTCCAGCCAACACTGTAATTCCCTCCTTAGCGTGTCACCTTAAAGGTAGGAGGAGCCCAAAGTGGCCAGGTGGCAATCTTAACTTCTAGTTTAATGGAATTGTTGTGTTTCCTGGTGACATCATTCCTCCCTCTGAAACTAAGATGTCTAGGCCAGCGGAACGTAATGCTGTGGGAACAGGAAGCAGAAATTTTGCTAGTGGATCACTAGGGGTGATGGTGAGTGGTGCCACTTCCACTTCAGTGCCTTGATTCCTGGACCTGTGAATCCTGGCTATGGGAGAAACAGTACCGTTTATTGGATGCTGATTCAGAGCACACATGGCCTTCTGGGGAACTTTGTCCCAGTCCAGCAAAGTATTGTCACCTAGTTAGTGTTGTAATTGTGACTGCAAAAGGCCATTCCACCGTTCTGTCAATCCAGCTGCTTCAGGATGATGGGGAACATGGTAAGACCAGTAAATTCCATGAGCATGAGTCCACTGCCACACTTCTTTAGCTGTAAAGTGAGTGCCTTGGTCAGAGGCAATGCTGTGTGGAATACCATGATGGTGGATAAGATATTCTGTGAGTCCACGGATGGTAGTTGATATGGTTTGACTGTGTCCCCTTGCCAAATCTCAACTTGGATTGTATCTCCCAGAATTCCCACGTGTTGTGGGAGGCACCCAGGGGGAGGTAATTCAATCATGGGGGCTGTTCTTTCCCATGCTATTCATGTGATAGTGAATAAGTCTCACGAGATCTGATGGGTTTATCAGGGGTTTCCACTTTTGCTTCTTCCTCGTTCTCTCTTGCTGTCACCATGTAAGAAGTGCCTTTCACCTCCCACCATGATTCTGAGGCCTCCCAGCCATGTGGAACTGTAAGTCCTTTTTCTTCCCAGTCTCGGGTATGTTTTTATCAGCAGCATTACTTTCCCAGTCTACACCAATGGCCTTGTGGGGAGCTCCCCATGTAATGCTTATTATAGTAAATTGGTATCAATAGAGTGGGGCATTGCTGAAAAGATACCTGAAAAATGTAGATGCAACATTGGAACTGGGTAATAGGCAGAGGTTGGAATAGTTTGGAGGGTTCAGAAGAAGACAGGAAAATGTGGGAAAGTTTGGAACTTCCTAGAGACTTGTTGAATGGCTTTGCTCAAGATGCTGATAACAATATGGACAATAAGGTCCAGGCTGCAGTGGTCTCAGATGGAGGTGAGGAACTTGTTGGGAACTGGTGTGAAGGTGACTCTTGTTATGTTTTAGCAAAGAGACTGGTGGCATTTTGCCCCTGCCCTAGATATTTGTAGAACTATGAACTTGACAAAGATGATTTAGTTAGGGTATATGGCAGAAGAAATTTCTAAGCAGCAAAACATTCAAGAGGTGACTTGGGTGCTATTAAAAGCATTCAGTTTTATAAGGGAAGCAGAACATAAAAGTTTGGAAAATTTGCAGCCTGACTATATGATAGAAAAGAAAAATCCATTTTTCTGGGGACAAATTCAAACTGGCTACAGAAATTTGCATAAGTAGCAAGGAGCCTAATGTTAATCACCAAGACCATGGGGAAAATGTCTCCAGGCCATGTCAGGGACCTTCACGGCAGCTTCTCCCATCACAGACCCAGAGGCTCAGGAGGAAAAAATGGTTTCATGGGCTGGGCCCAGGGTCCCTGTACTGTGTGCAGCCTAGGGACTTGGTGCCCTGTGTTCCAGCCGCTCCAGCTGTGGCTGAAAGGGGCCAATATACAGCTTAGGCTGTGGCTTCAGAGGGTGGAAACCCCAAGCCTTGGTAGCTTCCATGTGGTGTTGAGCCTGTGGGTGCACAGAAGTCAAGAATTGAGGTTTGGGAACCTCTGCCTAGATTTCAGAAGATGTATGGAAGTGCCTGGATGTGCAGGCAAAAGTTTGCTGCAGGGGTGGGGCCCTCATGGAGAACCTCTGCTAGGGCAGTGTGGAGGGGAATTGTGGGGTTGAAGCTCCCACACAGAGTCCCTACTGGGGCACTGCCTAGTGGAGCTATGAGAAGAGGACCACCCTCCTCCAGAACCCAGAATGGTAGATCCACTGACAGGTTACACTGTGTGTCTGGAAAAGCTGCAGACACTCAATGCCAGTCCATGAAAGCAGCCAGGAGGGAGGCTGCACCCTGCGAAGCCACAGGGCTGCAGCTGCCTAAGACCATGGGAACCAACCTCTTGCATCAGTGTGACCCAGAGTCAAAGGAGATCATTTTGGAGCTTTAAAATTTTACTGCCCTGCTCGATTTCGGATTTGCATGGGCCCTGCAACCCCTTTGTTTTGGCCA